ATATTTGTTATACTTGTAAGGAAATCAAATGATAACATGATAACTCTCGGAACCAATGTTCTGGAAAAATTGAACCTAGTGCTGAAAGAACAAAACGACACAGGGAGACAGAAGAACCCTAGAAGAAGAGGTCGAAATCAGCAAAGCCTCCCGGGACAAAACAGGAAGCTTAACAGGCACAATTCCGAAACGCAATGAGCTGTAGTAATACGACGAGCTGTAGTGAGCCGTAGTAGTGAACAAAATCAAAGGGCTCGTGAACGCATGAAACAAAACTACGGCAAAATAAAATGGTCTCGGAGCGACCTTTCGCTGTGGGGGAGAGTGTGCACATGAGAATCCCCATAGAAAAAGCCTCGTCGGCACATTGTAAGCTAGTACATGAGTGGAATGGACCATTCATTGTCACTGATGTCAGAGACAACAGCGCACTGGTCGCCTCTATGTCGGGTAACGCTGAGCCGCTAAAAGTGCAGTTTGATCTGCTTAGGAAATTGCCGATAGGCATAAATAATGGACCAGTACAAGCTGTCAGACAGAAAAGGAAAAGGGGCAGACCCAAAAGTAGAGGCAATCACTCTAAAACTGCGTGTCTCAGAGTCGACGTTGGGCCTTCGCAGCAAGATCTATTGCATCTGTTCCATCCGTGCACGTGTAACATCTTCCACACCCAGGCTCAGACAACCCTGTCCAGTCCACGTTCCAAAGTCGTTGAGGAGCTTAGAGAAACCGCTAGAGGATTCGATGCACGTGTAGTCGATGCGTATNGAACGATCGACACGACGGTGCCATTGGGACTCTCTGCTACGAGCCTCGGAATCAGCCCAAAACGTGATGATGACAGATTTCATTCACGGCAGCGTGCGGTGTTCCTGAAGCAAGTCAGAAAATTTGCCATGCGCACACTATCACTACCAATATTCTTTCCAGCCAAGCGAGACAAGAGAGATGATGACGCCGATACCAACGCCAGTTCAACCAAGCCCTAGGACGAGCCGTTGAAGAAGAAGAAGCCGAAGATTGTCAATCCGCACCTGATATATGTACGAGACGCCAAAGCCGAACGCAAACGCCACGCGCACCTCATGAAACAGAAAAAGGACAGCATAGCAAATGTGAGCCGTCGGAGCCTGGCTTCCCCACAGAGAGGCGTGTAGAGAATGTCGAAGGACCGTCAAGTGATCAAATTGTTAATATGATCTACTCGCTGTATCGATTTGTGGCACGGCGAGACGCCTATATAAGGGCGCACCGCCGCCATTGGTTCTCATTATTAATTGTATCTCTTCTTTTTTTTTGATAAAGCGTTTACCCTCGTGCTCACCGGACCCACAAGAACCCACAAACCCACAAATAACATATTCCAACGATGAGTCGAGTACTCCGAGAACTGCTCGAACGACATAAGGAATCTCATCTTGTTCTTTTCGTAGACCAGCTTTAAATATGGAACTAATCGTACTACTATTTAACGCGCTAGCTTTCTGCTCCAGCATCCATCACTTTCAGATGAAGCGAACTAGGGTGTTAATCTTCTGCTGTGACAAAGTCGGCTGAATTGTCTCAACACAGAGTGTGCGCCAAAGCCGTTTTGTGAGCTGATGCACCTTTTGCGAGGAATTTGAGTAGTTTTCGAAGTCCAATTAAGCACGGATCTAGTCAAAAATTCTTCGAAGCGGAAGCTGAAAACTGAAAAAAAAACTAGCTGAAAAGAAAGTTGCGGCCCAATTTCTTTGTAGTCTGTGGAATGTGCAAATTTGCAGATACTTTCTAAACTATCATTGGTGCAAAATTGGATCGCCTTATCTTCCGTGTATGACGGTTTCTCTGGATGCATTAGAAAACATGAAATTTCGTCAGCTGAGTAGTTGCTCCACTGTAAGAGCTTTTTGATCGCAAAAAGGGTTCTCAGTGGGCACCCGTCCGAATTGCAACTTCAAAATGTCCAATCATTCTCCTCATGCTCCTTTCTAGACTGCGACGGATGTGCTTTACAGCATTTTTTACACTTAGTGACCTTTGAAGTTGAAAAACCTGATCAAGAGCTAACATCAAGTGTGCCCCGTTCTGAAGCCCCATGAACTTTGTCTCGCTAATGTTTTATTGTCTCTGATGTCTTACCTTTACGTCGACTAATTAAGTTCGCTTCCTGTACTACGTATCACTTTAACCACGTCTGATTGCAAAAATTAGGCTGCCCTCGTTCTACGTATCTGTTTCTTGAGTGATTTGAAGCTGTCAAATACCTACCTGTCAGCCACTGAATTTTCTGTCAAAGCGACATCAAAAGGCTTGCAGAACTCCTCGGACTCATTAGCACTTTTCTCGGCATGGGGAAGGGAGGAGCTTTCAAATGAAACTTCTTTTCCAGGCTGTTCATCATCATCCGATGAGGAGGCTTGACATGACATTAATGAGTCGCGCTGTTGAAGGAGACCAGGAGGATCGGAGCCGGCCACGGCTCTTGAAATGGGTTGTTCATCATCCGCTAGGACCTCGACATTAGCTTCCACCAAGTCATCTCCCATCGTTTTGCTGGCACTTACGGCGAAGGGTCCAGCAGATGCAGTTTGTATGTAGAATCCATCGGTTGTCTGAATAAAAGCTATTTGCCACCCATTAAATAAATTTATATGGATTCAGCAACAACATATATCAATGTAATACCACGGCATACACAAACCGCTAGAAAGGAGACAAAGAATCGCTTTCGCAAGAGGAAGTTAGAGGAAGGATCAATGGTTTGACCAAACTAACGAATCAATAAAGTTAAAGCATACTGACATCGATGGGTGACTGAGATAAGTGGTGTGCCAACAATAAGTCTTAAGGCAAAAAAGATGGTGGTTCGAAAGACAAGAGTCCGCGAGGAAAGCTAATTGTAAGGAAAGGAAAGTTTGAGAATTGAGATACTATCAGCTGAGATGATCTAGTGAAGTAGACCAAGGGGAGCCGTTTCTCCTTTTATTGCACAACACTGTTTAATCCTCGAGCATGGGAATGTTGAATGTCAGTTCACTGTATCCGTGACTCGTCTCGTCACCCATATTTCAAGGTCGCTGCCGGCTTGTCGAGGAGTTCAATCGTCAACGTCTCCATCCAGCGATCAAGCTCGTCGCCCATTGCTGATGCGTCCCCTGCCCATCACCTCTGAGCCCATCCCCTCCATCGTCTAGTGTGCATACCCGCTGATCTCTACTAGTCAACAGCGACTGACCAGACCTCTATATTTACTGCACATATCTGATAAACCCTGCATTCATATTGCATGGCGCAGAAGTATAGGAGGTCAGCTGGCCCGACATTCCCGTACCAGATTACTCAAATAGGGGAGGGTTTCAACCTCCCAATAATTTTTGACTGGACATTCAGGTGTATTGATAGAATTCAGAATGAATATAAAAATTTAAACTGCTGAATTAGTTACTCACAAGAGTAAGGGCCTCCAGCTTTGCTTGCCTGAAGTTTGGGAGTAATGTCAGCTGAATGATCGTTTGTCCGCAATAACAGCATTCGTCACCCACGGCAGCCGCACCGCTCTCCGGCTGAGACCGGATTGCAGTGTAAGTAAAGGCTATGGCCGAATCTGAAACCCTCGCTTTCCCCTCTTTCTTTTGGTTTCTAACCATCATTTCTCGGCCCCCTTCTTCACAGTCAACGCGATCATTCGGATCAACACTCGTGCCGAAATGACTGCGGGCTTCACCAATGCCCTGCGCACTTTTCCTCTAGCGTCCTGTAGCAACGTTCGTCGCATAGGATACTTTCAGACTCCTTCCTTTCATCCATGCAGCGTTTATTCGGTATTTAAAGTCGGTCCACGCTGTCAGCGACTAAGACACTCGAATGATCCCGTATTCTTTCGATGCGTTCCTCTTGGCAGTCCATGACTAGCTCTGTCCTTTCTTCGAAGCTTGTTTTACTCTGGGCGGAGTGCGTCTCCCTTTAGCACATTCTGCTACTTCTTCAGCTATCCTAAGTTACACTTTGCTCCTCACGATAAGAGCGATGTTATCAGCATGGTCTGTTCTCGATATCAATTACCCTTGAGAAACCGAAGAATGACGAAGCTACCAAACACATGAGGTAGTAAGTACGATTTTGATCGCATCAGGTAACCGTGGCCCCAATGAATTGTGCAATATAGCCGTTAATCGCAATCAATGAAGCCAAAGCTGGTGCCGATAAACGTAACGAGACCACCTACCGGCAAGGAATCTGCAGCCATTAAATTTCTATTTGAGTCTTGATCACAGGACGAGTACCAAGGGGTGCTAAACTAGCTAATAAACCTTGATTTTATGAATAAATTCTTGAACGCATCCACCTGAAACGAAACAGCGGTCGAAAATGCTCGCGTGACAGTGATGGCAGATTATGTTGGGTCTGAGCTACCTAAAAAATGAGAAGTTACTGTATTTGTGAATCAGAAGACAGAAAGATTTCGAAACGTTCCCAATTGCGAATGTTGTAAGAACATTTCTCCATATGCAAACCTTTTCAGATGGCTCGCTTTTGCGATGCTCCAAGTCTGAAGACGTTAAGATACGATGCCGAAATTCTGAAAAAAATCTGGTTTCACTCTAATGAAGCTAGAGTCACTCCTTGACAGGACAGGAGCCGCAGTAGACAGACTTTGAACAACATTGCAGTATTCAGTGGAAGAGTGCCATTATCACTCTTTTGCTTCGCACATCACCTATGTATGGCACGCAACATAAGCCGCTATTGCGCCTAGCCTCACATATATCTAGAAACTCTTCAATCCTTTCATTCAACAATCGAACATGGTTCTAAGGACAAGAAGTAAAGTACGCTGGCTTCTATCTTACCTAGCGAGGCGAAACCGTTCGTGTAGCCCCGCCTACGATTATAGACGTCGGTAGAACATACGCTTATCACAGAGGGTCTGATGAAGTCGATACTTCGCTTTTTTATACCTCGACTAGTGAGAGCACCACTGAAGGAGTAGTAATTTTTGCCACACCAATGACCCCAACGTGAAGCCCGCCTCCTTCACCGTAAGCAAAGCCCACCAGTGCTACCTACATTCAGTGTTCCCATCCCATGCCCTATGTCTCTTCCGAATTTGAACCGTTTGGCTTCAAAGAAACGAATTCTAGCTCCGCTGCGTGAGCAGAGTTCACAACCGCCAATTACCATCAGTGTCTTATCCCAATCATGTGTTCTTTACACAGTCGCACGCTCTAGCTTTGAATCAAGGGCTCTTGCTCACGCGCCGTTCTTATGAACGGATTCAATTTTGCCATCTACCATGAATGTTCTTTGTGCCACTAAGTTTCAAGGCCCTTCATACAGACGCTTAATCTTGAAATCAACAGATAGACTTAGCGAACCATGTTGCTACAATTCGGATCGCCTAGCAAACGCCGGACACCCCATCTACTTATTACGGAGTTGTCAGTTAAGCTGCCACTGCTTTTTTTGGAACAAACGATACTTTTTCTGTACACGAAATCCGACAGAGGACTAACAGTGCGGTGCAAGTGGTATTCAGTAGCTGCCGATGCTTATGCATATGGTTAGAAGTTTCTATCTCTACTGGTCTTCATCTTGAAATTTATTACCCACCCATTAAAGATTTAATTGTTGAGCAACTGAAGTTTTGGATGATACCCGCAAATGTTGCCAAGTGATAAATACACCCTTANCTAACAGTGCGGTGCAAGTGGTATTCAGTAGCTGCCGATGCTTATGCATATGGTTAGAAGTTTCTATCTCTACTGGTCTTCATCTTGAAATTTATTACCATTAAAGACCATTAAAGATTTAATTGTTGAGCAACTGAAGTTTTGGATGATACCCGCAAATGTTGCCAAGTGATAAATACACCCTTATCAGGTGTAGGCATCAATGGAACTTCGTAATTCTACAGATCTAAATATCACTAGTTGGGAATCCCAGATTAGTTGAGATAGGATGGGTTTTGTCGCGAACGATAAGTGTTCCTTCGCTGATAGCAGAAACTCTCGCTTTCTGAGACCTCTTATCAGCCCTTATAGTCGTTATCAGCCCTTGTCACAGAGTACCTACGGACCGCTCACACCCTACAGCATCCAAGGAAATGTCATTGTTCCACTGGAAACACGAGGTGCGTTACAGATCTAGTGGCTCTAACGCTATGGCTGTTTGTAAGCCCTTCTCGCTTGTTATCGGTCTTTGCCACCAGCCACCTACTGTTTCCCCACTTACCACACCATCTACTGAAGTGCCAAACTTCACTGTTCATACGAATAAAGTTACAGACCTAGTGGCCTCCTATGGCACGTTGTAAGCCCCTAACAACTGTGATCAGCCCTTATCATCAGACATCTACGGCGCCTTCCTACCAGCGGCTTCTTCTGAGGGTCACTATAGCCCTTATCAAATGTTAACACTCTTCCTACCACTAACCACCTTGCTGCTATATTACTCCTACTATATTTGAACGCTCTAGGTGCACGGGAAAAGACGTTATTCCACTCAAACATTCACTTCGCATAAACGTCGCCCCCTGCGGGCGAAGTCCCTTATAACCACCCATTGTAAGTGTTCACATGTTCCTGTCCATCGTACTGCCGTCAAATTTAGTCGCTCTAGATCCACGAGGACAAGAGCTGTGAACCTCCGGTCGGACACACACATACAACATCCCAGACACCTACACACACAAATACCTAGGCAAGCAGCGTTATACATAGTGGGATTTGTAATCCGCCGAGTGTGTCTGCTCGTTTGTCTTTGCACAAATACATGTATTACAAGGTGGGCCAAAATTATGATTACACAGACATCGCATCGCCAAAAACGAGTATTGAGCAAACGAAACAAAGTAACTTCAAAAAAAACAGTTCATCACAAATTTCTTTTACAGGGGAAAGCAGGGCGACGAGGGAAAGCATCCACCGTGACACGCAGGCAGGATGCGTCGAGTTGATCCCAGGCTTTTTGCAATGCCTTCTTGAGACTGTCCAGGTTGTTGTGTGGTTTAGCGCATGCTCTCGCCCAGGGTTGACCACACGGAAAAATCCACTGGACTCAGGTCTGGGCTGCTAGGTGGTCACTAATCGAAAAGCTATGAAGTCGTGGAACGCTTCTCTACAAAATTCTTGAACAACTCCTGATTTGTGGCCAGGAGCTCCATCTCGTTGAAGTGTCCATTTTGAATGGGCAACGTGCTCTCTCGCCCTCGGCAAAACTTGGTCCTATAAGATTTTCAAATAAGCTAACCCATTAACTTTTACTCCTTGAGGTACGAAGATCAGTGGTGTTTTCGCTTTGGCGGTTATTGCCGCAAAGACCATCAAAGCAAGTGGATGTGCTCTGCGTTGTATCACTTCCTTGGTTTCAACTTTGCATAAATCCTGTCATTCTGTTAATTGTGCACTTGTCCCACCGTAAATACCTTTCCGTCAGTTAATAGAATTTCCCTGTGACGATCTCCTTGAAACCGGTAAAGCAGAGCGATGTTAGCGACCTCTTCTCTTCAATTTAACTTGTTCACTTAGATAATATTCTCTGGATCTTTTGAAGGCCCTGTGCGCAGGTGATCTTTCACGATTCTGCGCAGGGAACTTTGTGAAATATCTGATTCTTTGGACATTTTGCGCCCAGATCGAGCTCCACTGCGACGCAGACTCTCGCCGCCGCAGATTTCTTGATATTCCTTCTACAAGCCTCTGTGCTTTCTCTACCCTTTCGATACGCCGATGTACTCAATCTAGAAATATCGCGTGCCCAAAATCCCTGTAGATGCAAAGTAACGATTGTTTCACGATGTTGCGACGCTTTCATTCTTTCTTAAATCAATCGAATTCTGGTGTCGTTTGGAAGGGAATAATGTAACCTACCTAGTTAACTGCAAAAAACCGACCGAAATTTTGAAAACTCGGAGAAAAATCGATTTACGCGCCCGCGCGCGCCGTAATCATAATTTTGGCCCACCCCGTATATATAGTAAGATTAACATCACCGTCAAGGAGCCCTGTACCAAATGCTCGACGCATATGACTTTTGAGGGCGCCTACTACACCTTCAGCTCCTTTACTTAATTAACGGATGGAGAAAACCCGCAATTTTCATTTCCGTCGCTATGAAAGACAAGGAATTTTCCTACAACACTGCTGAGGTTTAGACTTATGTTTGGATTCATTCCGTGCGCACAATGCACAGGTGAGAAAAAATACATCAGTAAAACACTGGAAAATCAAACATTAATTTCATACAAACAGAAACCAGTAACTCGAAATCTGGCAGTGACACCTGGAAATATGCTTCAGCCTAGCAGTCGGTCTCGAAAAAACGCTAGCGCTCTTTCAGAACAGCTTAGATTACTCTTGAGGTTTTCTGGTACAACAGAGAAATCTTAGGAGTGTTTTTTTTATCGTGAGCTGCATCTTTCGTGTTAAGTCACATACCATCATGAAACGCTCTTGTAGCCCTTTTGCTATGCGGTTCAACACTATTATAAATCGTTGCTTTATAAAGGCCGACCGGCTCAACACGTTGTACGAGTGAGTGTTGATAAGCTATGGCATATAAGGTTGGTAAAAGTAAGGGTTGATATTGGTAAAGTTGATAAGGTTGATAAGTAAAGGTTGACATTTGATTGAAGTTTTGTCCATAAATCGCCAACCTTGTGAGACTTTCGCTTCGCGTACTGCGGCGTGAAAACAGCAGCTAACAAAACATCAAGTCAAAACAAGTGTTAACATGTGAAGTTTACAGCTTAACGATTCAGTGCTGATATTGGCCGACCGGCTCAACACATTGTACGTGTGAGTGCTGACAAGCTATCCTACTTTATATAATTCGCTAAGTAGGTCTGTTGGTGTGTTGGTGTGTGTGTCTGACCGGAAATTAATAACTACGGTCCCCGTGGACCTAGAGCGTTCAAACTTGGTGGCAATACGGGGGGCAGGATGGGAACACTTACGGTGGGTGGCAGGACCAGACTCCATGCACAGGGGGCGGGGCGTGCGCGTTAGAAATTTTGGGCCGCAAATTCATAAGTCCTGTCCCTATGGTCCTAGAACATTCAAACTTGGTAGGAGTATAGTGGGCAGGATGAGAACACTTATGGTAAGTGGCAGGACCGGACTTCGTTCACAGGGGGCGCGGCGGGCGCGTTAGAAATTTTGGGCCGCAATTTCGTAACTCTTGTCCCCGTGGACCGAGAGCGTTGAAATTTTGAGGATTACACTTTTCGTACTAACAGTGGAACCTTAGCACTTCAGAGAACTGATCGTAACTGATAAGAGAAGATAAGGGACCCAAGGAGGCCACCTACCAATCAAAATCCTAATNCGGCGGGCGCGTTAGAAATTTTGGGCCGCAATTTCGTAACTCTTGTCCCCGTGGACCGAGAGCGTTGAAATTTTGAGGATTACACTTTTCGTACTAACAGTGGAACCTTAGCACTTCAATAAGTGATGTAGGATATGACGGTATCGTAGGTTCTCGGTGACAAGAACTGATCGTAACTGATAAGAGAAGATAAGGGACCCAAGGAGGCCACCTACCAATCAAAATCCTAATGTTTTCAGTATCTACGATGTAGCTTTGAACGTTCAGTATGTTTCATTCGATAAGACGGGATGGTAGAGCAGGGTGACAAAAGTGAGTGGTTAGTGCAGTGAGAGGGACCCATTAGGGCAATACGATAAGCAGATTAGACCTTTGTTCATTTCTATTAGATTACGGCCACTATCCAGCAAGGTTTGTGATTCAATGAAGGATTCTCTCTGCTCTATATCATTTGCGACAAAACCTAATAGACCGCCCGTAATTTGGAATTCTCAACTAATGATATCTCCGTAAAGAGAAGGGTCTGTTGACAAAGAACATCTGATAACGGTGCTATCATCGGTCAGAGCATCTCCACAGCATCATCTTTGGTTGTTTAACAGTTGGAGTTTTGATGGGTTTTTTTAATAAAGGGAGCAAGAGATCGGAAATTCCAATCAAAGGCGTAGGCACCGACTTTCACTGTATACCATTTGCACTGCCCTGTTAGTCCTGAGTCAAATTTCGTGTACAGGAAACTACTATTTGTTTCAAAAAAGGAGTGGAGAGTTAGCCGACTTACTACAACTTTGACAAAGAAGGAGGGAAGCCCGGCGTTAGCCGGGCGAGCTGAGTATGTGATATGCTACGACGACATAATCTAATTCGAGCTCTGTTTCAGTTTCATACTCCAACTAAGCAGCGGAAAAACCTTAAAATCTATAAACTTTGAGAAAGGGGAAAGAAATTCTTCAGTTCAACATTTCTCGGGATAGGGTGTTTGACAAAAGGAGGAGAGCCTGGCGTNAGCCGGGCGATCCGACTGAGGCTTATAAGCCATTAAGAAGGCGAGGGCAAGCGGGTCTCGGTAGTGTAAGGGATAAGAGCACGGTCCCCGGAGAGGACAAGTACGGGTTCGAGTCCCGTCCGATAATGAAGTTTTGTCCATAAATCGCCAACCCTGTGAGGCTTTAGAAAGGATTCTATCCTATGTTGTACATCTTGCTTGAGAGCCCTGCTCAACTACGACACATATTTCACACCTTCGAGTAGAAGCGGTAATTGAAGCACTGGGCAATCAGGGCACCGGAACTTCTTCCCGAATCCCCACGGAAAGCGGCAGACGTCACGCGGCGGCTACCCTATCCTTGCAGTGGGGAGTTCAAATGTTTCCCTTCGAAGCACGCGATCGGGTCCGGCGAACGCGACTCCGCATTCGGGGAGAAGACGACATCGTGCCTATAACACGCCCTGGTCGGAGGTAATGGGTGTCATCCCTAGACCAACACGATCCACTGTACTACTCTACCTCGCAAAGTGGTGAATTGAGACACTACTGGGTGCTCTCGAGAAAATCATCGGAGCGACAGGTTTTGTAGGTGATGGACATCTGTATACCAGCAATTCCGCTCGCGGATCTCCTCATTCCTGCTAGAAATAGCGTGATGTATTGCTCCTGGTCATTTCGCCGTGTCTTCTGCCCTTTGAGACCACAGCCTACAGACGCAATGTTGCTGCGAAGTGTCACTTACCACGTCCTTAGCTGTGTGGACTCGCTTCAACGCAACTCACCTTCACGGTTCATAAAACAGATCCGTCTTGCGGGAACCTGGAAAAACAAACCTCCATAGAGCGGTTTCCCAGCTCAGCGACGTGCGTTGAAAACTCCGAAAGCGTTGACACACTGCAGCCAAACGTTCACAGCACTGGGCATCGCCTATTGACGTAGCCGAAAGTCTATTGGAGAGTCCGCGCCGCTTCCCCTGCGCGTACAACGTTGCCAGCAAGCGACCTGAGCTGTCGACGTGCATCCACAACGCTGCGTTCTCAATGCACGTCACTGAACTCTGAAAACGCTCTTACGCTGCCTCAAAATAACGAAATTTAACAAGAATTGTGTGAATCTTCGCATGCTCCCCACCTATTGCGATCGACGATATCTGGTGCTTTTTTCTGAATGTTACTTTCAGTGCCAAGCAGCTGAAATCATGCTTGCGATGTATTTTATAACCGATAATTAAGATAAAAGAAAAGAAGCATCTTACACTAGTGGTAGATTACAAGAAAAGCATAGGTTACGGTGAACTACGAGAAAAAATGAATGACCCTTGCAATGTTCTTTTCGGTACTGATAGTGATTATTATTTGTGATAGAGGGAGTTCAAACAATATTTTCCTACGCTATACTTGACCTTCAACGATTATCATACTCGATAAAGATAAGAGCATTAATCACATATTTATAAAATGTTTATAACAACACTCAACAAGAAACAAGATTAGGCAGCTGCGACCTTGGGCTTGGGAGTAGTACCCTCACGGAATCCATTCCTGAAAAAAAANAAAAAAAACGAAATCGAGAGAAAGGAGAGAGTTGCAGAAACTTAACATGCCATCTTCCACTTTCAATGCCGAAAATGGCAAAGCAAAAAAGCAGAATAAACGCATCAATTTGAAAGACAACTCGGGCGAGATGGTGTTAAACGTGACCCGCCTTCTAAAATACCACGCAGAAAACGCATGTGTTGACTAGGTTCCTTGCTCACTTCTACCTGCAGTGGGGATGATGTTCACCAGAAGCTGAAGTTAAAAAAAAAACCTAGCCTTTTTCTTCAGCAGACTGCTCGCAAGTTCGAGTTACGTAATAATAAAGATTACAAACTTTTTCTTGACTTAGAGTAGTGAAAAATGGAATTGCCCGCTTTATCGAACATATGAAAATCAGTGGCAACATGATGTGCGAAGTGTTTCCTCAGATTGCTAAACCACTTAGAGAGAAAGTTGAGATCAAAACTCTGATTTGTTCCTTATATCAAAGAAAAATGATCTCACACTTAGTAGCTCTTGATTACAGAAGAGAAATTTGGTTCAGGCGTGTATCAGTTTAATGTATTGTTAGCATTGAAAAAACTAGGACGTTAATTCTGGCCTAAAGGGGGCCTACAGTCATTACTGGACAACCATGAAGGACATTTTCGGTAGAAATGTGGATGGTAAGATGTTCAAATTCCCTGACTTCTTTTGAACTGATGACTGAGCTGACGGGAATTATGCTCTATGAGTATGATCAATACAGCACCGAAAAATTCACTTTTTGGCTATCCTAGAGAACGGAATTAATGTAATTCTACGCCGATTTCATATTCCTTCGGGTACGAAATGAGACATTGTGCAGTAAGCAGAAACACACTCACGACACAACACCTCCTCCACTGGGATTGAAAAATAAGAATTTGACACTTAATGTAAATTGCCCCTGTCACAGGACACCACACAATTTAACATCACACAATTGTCATTCTCAAATGGTGATTCGTCAGTGACCAAAACTTCGGGAGGTGCTCAATTTGAATGGATTGCGAGGGAAATCCGCTGGGCTTTAGGGTTTCTCCAAAAAAAAAAAAAAAAAAAAAANGGCACTCCGTTGGGTGCTTTCAAAATTTAGGCTGAAAATCCTCATGCACCTTCTTCGCTGTTATAGCGCGAGAGAGATTCAATAACGAGCAAGTATTGAGAACACACGCACTACTAAGCAAGACATATTCTATGATCAAGAACAACTGTTACGAGAATGTTCGTTAGATAGTCAAAGGTGATTTTATACCTGATCCCATCTCAAAATGGAAGTGACAATCTAAAAAATGACGAAACCCTCAAAACTCGAAATTGGTTAACTAGATAGAAAAGACAGCCGACATTACCTAATAAAACCGTTTATTAAAAATTAAGGAGCACATTTCCGACAGACATATAAGACGCGGCAAAATAGTCACGCCAAGCATACGGAATCAGAAAAAGAAACGAGTGAGAATGACATCAAAAGGATTTCTATGAGAGATGCCAATGTCAGAGGTGAGACAAGAGGCGAAGAGGTGAAGTACATTGTGAAGCGTAAGGCGCTTGGTAAAAGAGGGAAAACAAGGTTCTGCCTGACTGACTAGGAACTAAAAATACTACTTGGAAATAGCAGATAAAGGGAAAACTGAAACACTTCTGCGACCGCTATGGGTCAATGCTCACGAGCATGAAATTCAACCAGCAATAGTTATTGGGTGTTGTCAGACACGGTTTCCATTTGCTCAAAAGACCACTTGTAGCATTCTTCTAACACAATAGGTTGGCAACTAAGCGAATGCGGGTTTCTCTAAGCACTTCGAACCTAATCCTACAGGTCTTTTCAGGAAGGCGATTCAGATTTATAGGTCAGGTGCCTGAAGATTCTAGAATAAATAANTTGTCAATTACTTATTTCCGTATTCCCTTACAAGAAGTTGAAGGGCTACTCAAATTCTGGCGGTGGACGTTATCGACTTGAGTGGCGAATATCATACATCTATAAAATTGCTAAAGTTTCCACAAACATATTTTGTTTATCAGACGGGGAAGATAGCGAGTGATGGCGATTTTACAGCCCATGTGAATTTAAATTGAACAGTACGCACTGGCGCACATTAAATGTATGGTAAACAAAACTTTAATAAATAAGGAACATAAAAAAACAGATTCGAAAAAAAGTTACCGGAAACGCCTGTGAACACTGCGAAGATGACGCATGCGACCGGTGCCAGTAGTTCTTCTACGGATTGACTTCGCTCCCCAGTTGTATTTACGTTTCTTAGCGTCAGGATAGCCACACGACGCACATCTCTTTTTTTGAATATGGAAACTTGACTTTCCACAACGCCTGCACAATGTATGCGACTTTACGTGCTTCTTACCGAAGGCCTGTGTACCCTTAGTCATCTGAAAAGTGATTAGGTAACCGTAAATTCACAAAAAGCTCCCAAGAGAGACGATGTACTCTGCGGAAAGTCATGTTGTAAATGGCAGACAGAGATATAATGGAGAACTAAAGGCACAGCGATGATTTTCAGTTGCACAAGAATGGCGAGTTGCAACAGAGATTCCCAGTTTGCAGCAAAATTTATGAAAAGAAATCAACCTCTCATGCTCGCCACAGATATCATATCTCCACCGACTAATTCAAAATAGTCACGTACTACACACATCGTCATCTTCAACCATTCTACATTCAAACATTTTACGGCATTCATGCTATAAAGCTAGGAAGCACTAATTCTGTTAGATGCAGTTCTTCTGCAACCTCTTCTGGTATTGTATTAAGCATAAAATTCCGATATTCTTTCATCTGTTACGAAAAACAACATAAACACCCGGCGAAAAACACGAGCATTACCTGCGTATCCAAAAATAAGCAAAAACCGGCCCCTTCCTTCTGCCTCTGACCTGAAGCTTCAAGAAGTGATACCTACTTGAAGTGGACCAGAGAAAATGGTATAAAACCCTTATACACGCTATCCGTAGTGGACAGCAATTCGATAGCCGATGTGCCTACGGGATATGGATACGAAAAACGAAGAAATGGTTCAGGTAACATCAAATGATTTTCGAATAGACGATCCTTCTCGAAGTCGAGGAGGTTAGCAATGAAAGGCTCCCATCTCTTGTTAATAGATCCTATTCAATAATTACTAATGGCTTCAAAGTTGTTGCAAATTGTAGGTAACGGCCAACTGGGCTGACTTGTGCAAATCAAAACTACAAAGATCCAACTTATCAGAACAAAAAAAAAACATTTCCCTAAAGAAATATAGATATCTGCATTTTTGTTAAGCGTTCCGAGAAACAACGTCAAAAGAACCCAAGGAATGATTAACTATTCTTCCTAAAGCAGTAGAAACGATTGAAACCATCAAACCCAAGGAGAACCCTCTCAAAACTAACTAATAAATAATCACATCCAAAGAACTGCCAAAACAAGTAGTTGAAAGAGAAAACCGACACGATTTAATTAGTGCAGCACACTGAAAAGAGCCAGAAATTTAGGACAAATAGAAAAGTCGAACTCAAGCAGGAGCTCGCACAACTTTAACAGTGTTCGTTCCGTGCGGGACCAAGCCTTGTTGCGTAGCGGTGTCCTTTAACATTGCACTGATGTTGGGTGATGTTGCCCAGCATTTTTCAACCGAACTCCTAAATTGAAGACTGAAGGGACCTTCATTCATGATTTCATTTCCAAAATACCTGCGTGACGAAGGAGATGGCGCTCAAGGAGAGGTCTAAGGGATGCAAACCGTCATGCAGCAATTTTTCAGTGGAACTGCCGTGTGTCAGAAAAGTGACGATTGAGCAGGAAATTAGTAGCGCTCGGGGCCTTGCTCTGTTTGTACCTCATCCCNCCCCCCCCCCCCCCCCCCCCCCCCCCCCCTACTTTCCTAAGAGATGTAGTTACCTGCTGTCTTGAGCACACGGTAACAGCATCACGGATTCCAAAAAGAAGACTGATGGAAATTCTTGCTTATTTAAAGCGTGTGACTTCTTTTCCCTTAATCTATCGGTGACTTTCGAGTGGAATCGGTTCCGAAGAGATATGAGTGCAATACTCATTTCCCACATCAGTTCGTTAACACATTTCTGTCATGAGTTTCCTCCAACTTGACGACATTTCCTGATGATTGGTGAAGTTAGAGGTGTGTAGAATAAAGTAGCCCTGTGGAATTGGAACCTTCAATTATGGTAGTGGCACAGGCGATAGGAAAGGAACTCTGATAGTAAGCAGTGGGTTGGGCCACGCCCACACGGGGTGGAGCATGCGTGTAATGCGTGACCGGAAATTCATAACGCCTGCTTCCCAGCATCTAGATCTATCAAATATGTTAGGGGCACAGGCAGCAGGAGTAAGCGTTGTGTGCAGCGTTAGGTGCTTCTTCCTCTTATACACAGAACGAAAGGAAATATACATTTCGTCTTTGAAGCAGAGAATATAATTGAAAAGCATTCCCGTATACAGGCAAAATAATCAAAGCACTCAAAGGGCAATGATAAGTCCTTCTGTGAAGGTGGTGTAGTGGTGTAAATGAAGGAATAAGGGTCTACTCAATGAAATAATAAGTGCGGATGATACCGTCATGAAAGCACAGAATAATAGTAAGTAATCCTTATCGTAATACACAATCCATCCTTGCCATTGGCGCTGTTAGAGGAAGAAGTGAGACCTGCTTTTTGGTGGTTCCGCTTGACCCCGCGCCATTTAGGGGCGTGGGTTAAGGGAGTCGTTCTGGCAGTGAGACGACGAGATATCGATATGGGATCCTTCATCCACCTTCATTCCTACCCAATAAATAAGGAACAGTAGGAACAGCGAGCTAAGAGAGATTGAGATTCTCAGTCTCTCTTAGCTCGTCATTTTTATTTTTTTTT